CCCTAAGATTTGATTTTTTCTCACAACTCACGGGTTCTTCTTTTACTCTTCTCTTTAATACCTCTCGAGTTTCCCTATTCTTTCTTCCCTTTCTCATTTGCCTTCTCCACTTGACATGTTTTCTTCCCTTCCCCATATTCTTTATTTATAAGGGAGGAGGGCCTAAAAGAGCCATACAAGGTCTAGACATTTGACAAGCTGAAATCTTCCTGGAACTCCTGTACCTAACACCTAATGTTTGTCTTTTTAGCTCTTCACCTTGTGAGGCCTCCTAACTACCTGCTTCAACATGCTATCTCGACACTCATGCTAGCTTCCTCACATTTTCCTGTTGTTCCACCATTTAGTTGTTTGCTTTAGCATATTTTCTATACACCTCATGGTTGTTTCCTCACCTCTTCCTTTGATCCTATCACTTAGATTTCTGTTTCACCTCTTTGATGTTATCAAGTCCCAACCAATGACATTTTGTCAATTGGTTAAGGTTTTTCCCAAAAGAAGACAAGGTAGCCCAAAAGAAGTTTATTGGTGGAAAAAAAATTTTCCCTCTCGGATTTCCATTTTTCTCTCTAATTTTTACTTATACCAAATTTTTTCTCATTGTACATTTCTCTTGTCTCACATGTTACTTGTATTTCCTTGAATTTGAGCTTCAAATTCCACTAATTTTGGCATCATGAAGAAATTTATCCTCAAATGTCATTTTGAGGCTTCTCGAGGGAAAATATTGGGTTTGTGCATTTCTCCCCCAATTTTCTTTTTCTACAAAATTTTTTCTCACTTTACAACTTTCTTTTCTCATGTATTATCTAGCGTCTCCTTGAATTTCATCCTGAAATTCCATTGATTTTTACCTTGGGAAGCGTTTGTCCTAAAAGATCATTTTTCCTTCTTTTACATGAGAATGTGCTTTTGCTCTCTCCTTAATTTTTCTTTTTGCTTCTAATTTTGTGTTCCTAATATTTTTCTCACCTTCTAGAGTGTGGTGTTGGATCTTGAGAGTAATTCCTTGATCAAGAAAAATTGATTTCCCTTTAAGGACAAATTTTCATTCGAGGGATTTTTGTTAGGTTCTAATTTTTTCTTTCTCCTTTTATCCTTAATTTATTTTTCTAAAGACTTATTCATACTTAAATCAATCATACCAAAATATAAAAAAATAAGTCAGGGGTTTCAGGCTATTATAAATAATGACAGGAGATTGAATTTAAAATGTTAATTTTATACTCAATTATTTTTTTCTCTTTTCAGGATATCATATGTATTGTTTAAATAAAATAAATTAATTATTGTTCTTAAAATTAATTTCTATTTGTTATAATTTTTAAATTAAGATATTGTAGTTTACATTTTTGTAATCCACTACCTCTTATTATAAACGTAAAACAAATTAGTTAACTATGTTAATAGTGAAAAAAAAAAGAATAAAGAATGAGAAGAAATAGGAATTTTTTTTTTCAATTTTCTAAAGAAAACCGAACTCTTCAATCCATAAGCACATGAATATATCATTGTCTATTAATTACTAAATAAATATACTTGATCGCTTAATTCATCATCTTTCAAATCATTTACATCCTTAAAAAACTTGAATAAGAAAATCTAAGCCTCTTTCCTCTAGTTCTCCTAGCAAGTTGAATATCCTTAAGTATGACAATTACTCTCTTGGTATAGATAAAGCAAAATTTGATATTCTCAAATAGCCTTAGAAGATAAGCCTCAGGACCTCCTGCAAAAGGGTGATAAAGCTGCTTTAAAACCTCATATTTGTCTTAAAATCTTAAATGATTTCCCTCAATAGCCTTTGGAAATGGAACGACAACTTCCTGATAAAAAGTTGTGATCTTTATGTACTCGTGATTTCTCTCAAAGCCACAATTTATAATCCAAGATAATAGGGCTTCTTAACTTCTTTTGTTGCGTGAGTCGATTTATGGATAACCTTTATGAGTAGTTGCTTCCTTGGTTTATTACTAATTCAATGGTATTGGTTTTATTTTGATTTTTAGAGATGATGGAGAAGAAGAAATTAGAAGATATAACATATTTCTTCTCCCAAGAGAATTTATTCTTTACTTTTCTCATTTTTATTTTAGATTTATTTTTATTTTTAATTATTTAATTTTTTATTGTCAATATAAGTGTTTTTTTTGTTCTTACGATTAACAGAATTAATTGAGTTAGAGTTTACACTCCTTACATAATAATTTGGATTTTTCAATAGGAGTATGAGAATGTCTCTTCTAAAAGATAAATGGTAATTAAAGAAAAAACGAATAAATAAGCATTCTAGAACAACCTTCACTAACACTTGAAGAGAGCTTGAGAGGTGAACTACTCACAACCCTCTTGTTGATCAAGATTTGGATCTTAGTGTTGTTAATCTAAAATAGTTAACGAAATGGTGACTTACACTACCCCAGTAAGAATATCACACTAATCACATATACGAAAAATCGAAGGTTGGTAAAAATCAGAAAATAACTAATAAAGCACTTACTTTAAGTAAATACTATAACTTTAAAACTTTTTATTCGATACTTGCCGTTACAGTTTTTCCAAAATCAACTTATGAAAACAAATAACTAAATGACATTTTAATTTTATTCATAGGATCAGAATTCTCCCTTTTTTGACCTACTCCCTGGGACCCCTAGGGGTCCATAGGGATATCCTTTTACTCGTGGACTTAGTATCCAAAATTGACAATTAACCCAGCTGTCCCTATACCCCGTCCAGTAATGAGTGCCAAAAACACCATCGCCTCGATACCCCGTCTGGTATGAGAGTGAAATAAATCCCTAAAATTCTTACAGTATGGGACTTTTTAGCCCGTCCGACTAAGATAATGTCCACGAAGGGTTCTCTACGTACCGGGTCCGTCTACCATTTTTTAGGATGTCCAGTAAGCTTTTCTTTATTTAGATTCTCTAAACAGCCACCAAAGCATACCAACATCTCATGTCATATTCACTGATCAATTTAAACAATATTTAAGCAAGTGATTTAATTTATCATAACTAATAATTTGACCAGTCCGATTTTGGCTTGTTTTAACCAGTTTTGACCGATTTACACGTATTTCTGTGAAAAAACATGTTAACAGGCCTTAGTTGGTTAGAAATCACAAAAAGCCTACCATAACAGTAGGAGGATCTCCAGGTGCGGCGACTCCACCGGTTCTCTCTCGCGGATGGGTTCTTTCTTCGGCTAACCTGCATAGAAAAGGATGATGAACACAATTGTCGAAAAATCACGTGAAACAGAAAACAGAAAGGGGTTCATCAGAGGGGGTTTTGGGTTTTGGCCGCAACGGCTCCGCCGGATTTTGCCTGCGATTTTCGGCTCACCTGCCGTCCCTTTTGCTTTGATATGGCCATGGGGAGACTTGCAATCGAATTCCAAGCGGGTATGGGAGAATTTTACCTTTTTTTGCGGTTGGCGGTGGCTCTGGTGCGGCGGCGGCCGAGGTCGGTCTCCTTCTCCGACGAAGGTAGGGCGGCTAGGGTTAGGGTTCTCCTACGACGCGATGTTTATATACTCATTTTGCGTCAATCTAGGTCGTCCATTCACCTCGACATGGAACGAGGAGAGTCATCCGATCTTTACCTATTTAAACCGATTGCATGGGCGAATCTAAGTCGTCCATTGCGATTAATCTCATCCGTCCGATCGCGCCTAAGGAGGGAATGTATCTGAGCCGTTTACGTGCATGAGATCGAACTTGGGCAGTCAGATCATTGGGCACGCGGATCGCCCGCGTGGGGTCGACGTCAGCTTGTTTTGACATGTCTCTGGTTCGTCAGGGTTGCTGTATATTTTCTATTTTTACATTTTAACCATCCGTTTCTAAATTTTCTTTCAAAAATACCAATTGAACTCAAAATTTTCACTCTTTTTTTCCCAAAATTACTTTCGATTATATCTCTAACCTATTTTTTCTCAAATAATTTAATAAAAATAAATTAATTTAATTTAAAAATAATTTTTTATTTTTTTTTATAAATGCCAAAATTGATTCCGGACCAAATTCTAAACCTGGACATTACATTTCAACCTGTAAAAACATAAAATATTATTGTATATTATCGAAAAACCATCATTACAAAATTTTTAAACAATTTTATTACTAAACAAGTACATTTAATCACTTAATTCGTCATATTTCAAATCATTTATATCCTTAAACAAACTTGATCAAAAAAATCTAAATATATATATTAAAGCCTTATATTACAATTCAAACCCTCTTTCCTCTAGTCCTTCTAGTAAGTTGAATGTATATAGATAAGAAAATTACTTTTATGGTATAAAAAGTGATAAAGTTATTCTAATATTAAATTTGCCTTGGGATTTTGAACACTTCCTTCACTAATCTTTTGAAAATAGAATGCCAATTTTCTGATAAGAAACATTATGCTCTTCAAGTACTTTCTGATTTCTCTCAAAACTTTTATACACTTTCTGATCTCTCTTATAACTACAATTCATAGTCTAAAACTATAGAGCTTCTTGACTTTACTTTTGGTGTGAGCCAATTTATGAGTAACTTTTATGGATAATTGTTTCTTTGCATATCACTCCTTCAATGTTATTAATTTTATTGTGATTTTTAGAAACGAATGTGAAGAAAAAATTGGAATATATAGCATATTTCTTTTTAAAGGGAATTTATTCTCTACAATCTAAAACCTTTTTACTTTTTTTTTTTTCAATTTATTTTTATTTTGAATTATTTAATTAATTTTTTTTTTCTTTTTTTTAGTGTCTATGTGAGCATTGAAATTAATTGATTTATATAAGATCTAAAGTACATGGTAGTAAATTATAAAAACAAAGTACAAAGTCTTAACTTAAAAAAATTTCAATTGTGAAAGTGAAAATCCAAATTTTTATAGTTGTACGAAAATATTAAATATAATAATTTTATAAGTTTTTGAAGACAAAATTATGTAAGGCTTTTGAATAAATAATTTATGTTTGAGGATGGAAGAAGGGAGAAGATTCCAGAATGAAGAGAAGCAAAACAGTTTCACATATTTACCAAAACCCCAGGATTTTTCAGAAACCTCCCGAACTCTTTCTTTTTCTTTATTTTTCCAAATTTTCGTTCATAAGATGATCAAGAAAGGAAACTCGGAGCAATAATGGCGACGGATTGATTCGAATTCAGGATGTTAATCTCAGACTCAATCATCTTCTTCTTCTTCCAGACTACCGTTGCTCTTATTCTCTTTGTCTTATTATTTCGTGTTGCCTTTGTTTTCTTCTTTCTCATCCTCCTCCTCGCTCTCTGTTCTGATCTTATTTACCTTATTCTCGATTTCTTTTCTCCTCAATGACTACTCTATGTTTCTATCTATCCATTACTTTACTCCCTGTTTTGTGTACTATATGTTAGCAATCAACAACTAAATTGATATGGTGTTATGGATTCACTGATGTTTGTGTTTAATCGAACTCATTCTCTTAATTAATATATGGGGATAATTAAACAGATATTATTTTTCTTTATTTATTTTTAATATAATGATTACCTTTTTCAAAAATCAATAGCAGTCCTCGTTTTGTAAGAAAAATAATAATAAGTAGCGGATGGGATTTCTGTGGATTCTCTGCTTATCCAGATAGAATCTAATTCCATTTCTTCATCTATAACCTGTTTGAATATGGTATCATCACTCATCATCATCCAACAATCGCCTGCAACAACCAGATTTCTCAAGTCTTTAGAGAGTAAGATTCTGCGCCAATCATGGACCAATAGAAGCTATACTATTTGTCCTTGTAGGCTCCCTATTCTCCTTTACTACCACTCTACTTCTCTTCATCATCATTTTCCGATTGGAACTCCACTTCGTCATCCTCATCGTCCTTTTCCTTCTTTGTTCCGTCCTCCTCCATATTCTCTTTCTTCTCCTCCTGCCTCCATGACTACTCCTCAACCTGCACCGGATTCCCATCACTCGTCTTCGGACAAAACGGTACTTTCTTACCTCATCTATGTATCTCTCTCTTCTGCTTCTCCCATGCTGTGTTATCAATGTTGTATATTTTGCGATTTTGGTCTTTAATTAAGGCTTCTTCAGTTTTATTAGGATTTTAGCCTGGTGACTAAATGGTGAAAATGACTACCTAATCAATGTCACATGTCTTCCATATAACCTTTTTTGTTGACTTCGATTTATCGTGATTAATGGGTGCGTTACTGTAATGGAATTCGGTTGTTACGTTCACCTTTTATTTTAGGGCAAGCAATGGGTCTCTTTAGATTCACAAATCACATGGAAGATGATGGATGTTGATTGTAAAAAATTAGGGTTTTGGGCATAGTCATATCTATGTTAATTGTACATGTGTGATGAAACGGAGTTCTAGGTTTCATGTGTTCGTAGATTTAGTATCGACCCCGTTTTGATTTGTGCAGTCAGGTGTGATTGCTATCTCCTTCTTAGAATAAAAAATCGCGGGAACAAAGGTTTTTATTTTTTTGGTGTGGAAATTAGGCTTTGAATATTCTCTTTCTAGCTACTGGCCATGTCTGAGTGATGGGGTTTTGCTTTGATGGTGCAGGTGAGGGTTGTGATTAAAGGGTGGGTCCAGGGTGTATTCTACAGAAACTGGACAATTGAGAATGCCTCCGAGTTGGGCCTCAAGGGTTGGGTAAGGAACAGGAGGGATGGTTCTGTGGAAGCTCTCTTCTCCGGGAACCCTGATGCTGTCCAGGAGATGGAACAGAGATGTCGTCGTGGTCCCCCTGATGCTTTGGTTACTGGACTTCAGGTTTTCCCATCCTCTGAATTTCCTGGCACTGAGTTTGTGCGCAAACCTACAGTTTGATCAGTCTATGTAAACGCCCACTTACTCGTTTAGTATGAATGGCCCTTTTCGTTCCAAGTTATCTTTCTGAAATCTGAATCCTCTTGAATTGTTTGTCTGATGCATATTGGATAAATGGATATGGGATCAATTCTTGAATATGTACTCGTTAGTTTTCTCCACTGTTCTCCGTATATTGGCTACTTTGTCTCGGGCAATTTTAGAGGAATAGACATAAGTTTCAAGCAGAAATGTATTTGCTTGTAAAAATAACTGTTTTCTGTCTGCACAGAGCAAAACCTACATTAATTTTTAATTGTGCGGATAGCGTTCTTTGCTTCATTAGTTTACAGACAAATAATGCCTTGTTGATTCACATATCAATAAAATGCTATACTTCTAAACATGAGTTTGTATTTTCTTGTTCTAGTAGCTTGGATGCTTGTTAAACCTTCCATGACAAATTGTTTTGAGAAATAGTTTCCTGTGCTGTGTATATTACCTGTAGAAAACTTGCTTGGCGAAGGTATTCAAGTGTATCCACTTATATTAATCCAACCCCCAACTTCAAGTTCTAACCTGCAATGCCAAAGTCCTTCACGAGGATAGGAGAAACCTTTTCTGATTAGCAGGATGAAAAATGGAGTAGTTTCAACCACAGAGCTTTTTGACCCCATCCTTGAAAAGCTGGTACAAAGCCTCCCTGACTATCTTGGAGACCAAAACAGCAGGTTGCTATCTTAGTTTTGCAAATAATTGTAACTCTTGCTGGAGTCATTTGTCACTATTGATTTGACGCATTACTTTGCTGTAATGGTTGGACTTCTTGGATGCAAATTCTGATTGGGTGGGTTCTTTCTTCAATTGGTTTAGATCAGAGAACATTCTCATGTCACTAACTCAAAAATATAACAAAGCTATATGCTCATTACCCACCAGGCTACTTCAGTCTTTTAATGTGGCCTTTAATTAAATTCGAAACGACACTTATTCTTTCTTGGACCCCTCATTATGCTTTCATGCTCCTTAAAAAGCCTTTACTTTGTTCTACAAGTTCTCTCTTAATGTGAAGCTGCACACCACCAATTTGGCGGCCAAGTTAGTGTGGTCTCAACCTCTGGTAGTCAATAAAAAAAAAATCTTTAGTTTAATCTCTCAGAACTTAAATATAGAGAAGGTTAAACTAAAACAATATCTAATATGTAATACCCTCCAGTGGCTTAAAACAAAGTGATATGAGATTACTTACTGCACTAATTTAGTCTCCTAAGTTGGCCTTTAATTTATCTTCAAAAGGACATTCGTTTTGATTTGAACCTGTAGAAATTTTTTTAAAAAAATATTTACTTTGTTTTCACTATATTTTTTATATTACAAATAACTTATAAATATGTAAGAATTTTTATTTATAAATACTTTTTTTTTTACAATAACAATTCTAAATAATTATAAAAAATTATTACTAAGAGTTATATAAAAAAAAATTATCACAATTAGTTAGACAACAAAATATTCATGTCAACACTCTCTCTCAAATTGGTACAAAAATATTACATATGTCCAACTTGCATATCAAGTTCTAAAGAGTTTTGTTGTAAAGTCTTTTAATAAAGATATCTGTCATATGATTATTAGAAAATACATGATATATCATAAAGAGCCGTTAACCACTTTCTCTTTTATGAAGTGAAAGTTAATCTCAATATGTTTCGTCCGGTAATGTTGAACTGGAACAATACTAATGACTACTTTATTGTCACAAAACAATGATAAGCTTCCTTTTTTAAATAGTTCTAATTCATTCATCAGCTTCTGCAACTATAATAATTCACATACCCCTTGAGACATTGCTTTATATTCTGCTTCAGCACTAGAACGGGTAACTAGACTCTATTTTTTTATTTTTTCATGAAATCAAGTTGCTATCAATGAGTGTGCAGTAACCAGTAGTTGACCTTCTATCATATGGAGATCCAGCTCAATCAGAATCTGTAAATGCTTCTATTTTAAAGTGGCTATTTGTGGAGAAGAGTAAACATTTTCCTAATGCAAATTTTAGATACCGTAATATTCGAAAAATAACATGAAAATGAATCTCGCGAGGATCATGCATGTACTGACTTACCAGTACAGACTAACTGCATAAACTATATATGGTCTGGTACATGAGAGATAAATGAGTTTTTCAACCAATCTCTGATATTTTTGCATGTCAACTGATGTACTATTAACAGCTTGTAATTTGTGATTACTTTCAATAGGAGATTATCCTGATTTGCAAGCCATCATTTTAGTCTCTTCTAATAAGTGTAGAATATAATTTCTTTGAGAAATAAAGATTTCTTTATTAGATCTGACAACCTTAATTCCCAAAAAGTACTGCAATTTTACTATATTTTTAATTTCAAATTCTTGAGAAAGAAGTTCCTTTAGTTCAACCATCTTATTTGTATCATTTTCAGTCAGTACAATATCATTTACATAAACAATGAGAAAAGTGATCCTACTCTCACAATGTTTGATGAACAGAGTATGATCAGCGTTGCTTTGCTGATATCTGAAAGAGATCATAACTCTTCTGAACCTTTCAAACCATGCTATTGAAAACTGTTTTAATCCATGCAAGACTTTTTTTAATTTACAAACCTTCTTTTGTATTCTTTCATCTTCGAATCCAGGTAGAAGTTTTATGTATACCTCTTCCTCTAAATTCCCATGAAGGAAGATATTTTTTACATCAAACTGGTGTAATAATATTAGCAGCACAGGAGAATAATGTTCTGATTGTATTCATTTTTGCGACAGATGTAAAGGTTTCTTGATATTCAACTCCATAGGTGTGACACCCCGCTCATTGTTGTGCTTAATTGATTAGAAAAATCCTATTTATTCGGGTCTTTGGCCACATTAAACTTATTTAATTTTCTCCGCATGATATTTATCATAATTCGTAAAAATTTGGCTGATTTTTAATTATTTTGTTTTTATAATTTTAATTTTATTATTTAATTTTTTACATTTAACTTATTTAA